TTGTTCCTGGAAGGTTGTAGCTATGCAGGATGCCTTGGAGTCCAGGGAGACCAAGGTAGGCAAACCCACGTGAGACTGAGGCCCTGTGTGTCTGTGCAGCCTGAAGCCTCCCTGTCCTCCTTGGGAGAGATGTCCCATGCAATGGAGCAGGTCATGGGGGTTTGGTGCCCTTTGTTGCTCCTTTCCCAGCTGGGCTAAAATCAGCCTGTGGACTTGGCTCTCGCCAGTTCTGTGTAGCAAAGCAGTGCTGGGTACAACAGGGGACAGCCTTGGTGCCTCTGCGGGCTGAGATCTCTCAACTGCGAGAGGGTTCGGCCAGTTCCTGGTTGAGCACGTGACTTGGGTGCAGAGGCAAAATCCATAGGTGCTGCTGGAAGAGAAACCCAGAGTTTGCTTCCCCCCGCTCGGTGCAGAGGTTTCTGTCACGGCGCTTCCTGCTGCTTTCCTAGAACAATGTTATCATACGGCGGCAGTCTGAGTCGGCGCTGGGATTGACGTGTTTATGCATTGAATAATCATAGCTTTCACATGGCAGTTCCTGTGCTGCACGCGTTGACGTTTGGAGAGGAGCAGTAGCTTAGTGGACTTAAAACAGGGCTAAAACAACAGCAGAAAAAAAATAAAACAAACCCTCAGATCCTATGTAATGTTCTTCTTTCAGTCTGTGTCTTTTAGCATTTTTAAAGTCTCTTATTTTTTTCCCTCCTCTTATGCTCTCAGCCCCATCCTGAGGACTTAAAACAGGGCTAAAACAACAGCAGAAAAAAAATAAAACAAACCCTCAGATCCTATGTAATGTTCTTCTTTCAGTCTGTGTCTTTTAGCATTTCTAAAGTCTCTTATTTTTTTCCCTCTTATGCTCTCAGCCCCATCCTGAATCTGGGTTAGGTTCATTGCATTCGTAGTCATCGGCAGGACTTTGTTCAGTGCAATCTGTCTTGGTCCCTTAAAGAGCCCTGGAAAGGTTGGGAACAGACTCAAATGCAAAAGCAGAATAAACCTTGAGCTGCTGCGAGGCTGCCATGACTCGTTTTCCTGCCTTCCTCCAATGCTCCTCTATCCAATCCAAGCCCATGGACTGCTCGGGTAAACTGGAGTTCACTTGTTTTGAGGCAGGTTTTAACCATAGGGGCCTTGATCTGTGCTCAAGTCTGTGACTTTATTCCTCCCCCTCCCAGGCTTAGCAGGGTTGGGGCCATCCTGCTAGGAGATGTGGGATTCTTAAGAAAGTGGGTGCAGATGGTCTTGCTTTGGGAATAAACTGCGAGGAGGGAGTCAATTTAGTGAGGTGCCCTTTTGCATTGCATCCTGGCCACTAATAATCAAGCCTTTTCCCAAGAACGGAGCAAGAAGTATTTTACTTTTTCCTCCTTATGGCTATCAAGAAGTGATTTTTTTTTTTTTTTGGCTTGGGTGGGGTGTGTGGACAGGGGCAGAGGGAAGCGGGAAGCCCGCTGTCTACCAGCTGTACAGCCAAAACTGGCTATGAAGAGCATGTGGTATCCAACTGCTCGGAAAAATAGCAGACTAGTGATATTATGGAGACGTTTACTGTCATGTTTTGTTATTTTTCCGCTTTGTTGCAATGAAATATGGCCTGTCCTTGTTCCCAGCTGCCAGCTCGGGGTGTGAGCAAGGGCCCTCTCCTATAGCTGCCTTCTCCCGCTGCATCCCAAGCCGAGTTCCCAGGAGGGAGAGCTTGGGGGCAGCAAGTTTCTGTGCTCTGGGGTTTGCAGAAGTGCCAGACTGGGCTGTTGACGTGAGGCCATGCAGCACTTGGAGTCCAGAGATCTGGTTTCTGTCCTGGGTTTTGCTGTTGATTTGCTCTTGGCAGTGGCGTAAAGGGAAAGCGCTTTTATTTTTTTGGAGGAGGAGATGACAGCGAGTCCTCATGTAGGTTAGCACATTTGCCGTGCCTCAGTTTCTCTACTCACAAAGCAGAGATTTATTATAGCTGCCCAGTTAAAAAGCATGTGAATACTTGTGGGAGAGGAATTTTATGAGCATGTAGCATTAATGACAAGAACTGTATGCAGCTGCAGTTGAAGGTATTTTATTCCCAATACCAATGTTTTCTTTAAGCAGCAGCAGGTAACGTGGTACGTGTTATTGGATGTGGGGTAGTGAAAAATAAGTGAAGTGCTTGATTTCTTTATTAAGGCCTTTCTAATAGGATAAACTTATTAGAATTAAATAATTTGGAAGTTGCAAAGCATTAGGATTTTGGTCTTTTGATTATTATAAGTAACTATTTATATAGCAGTAGAGCCTGGAGGCCCTGACTCTGATCGCCTTGTTCAGTGCAAAGCCACAGAAGGCCAGATGCTGCCAGAAGGCCTTGGGGCAGATAGGTGTCTTCTGAATCCCTTCCAGCAAATGAACTTTACAGCCAATCCACCCTTTAATTTTCCTGCAGATCCAGGTGCCTTGGAAAAGGTGCCAGGCTGTCCAGGCTGGAGGTGGGTGCGTTCTCCTGGTACCCAGTCCCGCTTCCCCTTGTGTGGGAAGGCTGAAGTTGGGACTAACGGTGCCCAGGAGGGAGCAGCATCCCCGTGCTGCCACTCTGATGGCCACGATCTCTCTGTCCCCTCCAGGAGAGGCCTGGCGGCTGGAGGACGACTGCATGGAGCCCCCCGGGAGCCCTGCCCTGCAGCTGCGGCTCCGCACGGCGGTGGACGAGGCTCCGTTCAGCTACTTCCGCGCGCACTCCTTCTACATGCGGAAAAGCCTGTCGGTCGACAACCACCTGGGCTCCCTCGGCTACGCCATCCACCCGGCTGAGACGAAGGCCGAGCGCGTTAGAACCAAGCTCCGGAGGCAGTTTGTGAGTACCTCCTTCTGTACCTCTGCAGCCATCCATCGCCTGCCGAAGCCCAACACTGCATCTCCTCAAACAGTAACGTGTTGAAAAGGTATTTAAAGCATTTTCCAAAAAAAAATGGAAAGAGGTCTTTCTAGCCTGGTTTTTTTTTGCTTCATCTAGTGTTTGCCCATGTCATGCCAGAAAGCCTTCTTGCCTGGTGTGGCAGACTTTACAACCCTGACCCGTTCCCTATGGTCAAAATGCTCCTGCAAGGGTTTTGCTGGCTTGGAGGTGGCTCTTGCTTGGTTAGGTAATATGTGATACGATGATATTTCTTTCCATAGCTCTGTAGACAGCAGTTTAAAATAAGAAATGAGGTCTACAGTAGTAATGAGTTTGTACCCTTGTCCTCTGCCTTATCCACACTTGCAATTTGGCCTCCTCGAGGGTCTACCTGAAACGTATTGAGGGGCCAAGAGAGGAGCTGGTCTCTGTGTGAAGCCAGAATTGATGTATTGAGGCCACTTGGGCTTTCCTGGCTCTTTGGGATGGATCCACTAGCCAGGCTGCAGGACCAGCCTGGCTCTGCAGCTGGTTAGGAGGAGGGATCTGTTCAAAGTTTGATGGGCTTCGAGGCTTTTTCTTTTCAAGAGACACCTGATACAGGTGGTTCATATGGCCTTCTACTTGCCTCATTACTGGCTGCAGGTTGTAATGAGAGGCTCAGGTGTCCTTGTTCTGAAAAGTACTTGATGCTGGTTGGAAACAGGTGAGGACACGATACAAAGGGAGCTGTCTGCAAACAGCAACACAAGGCTGAGAGCCACAGAGTGGCAAAGTGAGGCCACTCGTGCTCACCCGTCGGGACGTGTGTCTTGCCTCGGTGCTTGTTTGCCTGCTATAACAATGGGTGACTGTGGTGACCGTTTCCTTGGAAGTTGGTTATGATCCCAGTGCTGTGAGCTGTGCTCCGTGAACCACACGTGCAGGACTTGCTGTGGACTTGGGAAGCGGGTGAAAGCTGTCGTGATGGAGGAGAGCAGAAACAGGCTGGAGTATCTCATGAAGGGTTAATGGGCATCGGATGTATTCAGAATGAAGCAGACCTGCTGTGCGGTAAGGGATGGAGACCTGCTTTTCTGTCCTTCTGTAGTGCTCCCTGACAGTGTGCCCACAGGAGCGTGGGAGGGAAAGGAGGCTGCTCAGAGGTGGATTTTGGGAACTGGTCCTCTTCTGGAAATGTCTCTGATGGGATCTGTTATCCATAGCCTCTTTACAGTGTTGATTTGAACAAAAAACATGGAAGCAGTTGGCCCAACCAAGTGAGCAGTTGGCCTGACTTCAGAGCTGGAACATGAAACCAATTCTCTTCATGGTTTTGAGATGAGAGGCGAATCTAGACCCTGCTTGTCCTGTGATCTTGGGGGTAACACACGTGGTGGGATGGGGTAGCACTGCAGAGCTCTTGGCTAGGAAAACACTGAATCTCTTCACATCAGCGTGGCTGACCTGTTCCTGATGAGACATGACAGGCACCAGGGCTTGGGACCATCTCTTTCTTACTGGGAGTGGAGTAAAGGCTGTAAAGATGCAGTCAGTAGCAGGGGCAGATCACCGGGTCGGATGTGCTCTGGATGTTTCTTCTTCCATCTCCTCATGTCTTCTGGAACTCAATAATTAATGAACTGCCTTCCCTTCTCCCTCAAGGGCAACTGAAATGGCTTGGTCGTGGCTCTGTGTCTGTTTGTAGAAGGAGCTGCTTGGGAGAACGTCCTCCTGCTTAGCTGCCTGAAGGAGAGGTGGGCTCCTGGAGCAGACACGGGCTGCTGTCCCCATTCCTGATGGTGCCAGCTTGCTCCCTGCCACTCTCTGCGCTGCCTGGGGCTCAGCTCCTTTGGGCCTTGGACTTCCCTGGAGCTTCTGCCAGTGGTTTGAGACTGAGCACAGACCTTTAGCACCCCAGCACCTGTCGCAGAGCTGGTGATTGTTGTCCACCAAGGAATGGGAACAGATTCTTGTAGGCTGCTTTTCTGCTGTTTCCTCTCTGGTTTGTTTTAATAGGTAAAAACGTTATCGCTGCAGGCTGAGATGAAACTGGTTAGCCAGGAATTGTGATCTTGTCATATCCATGGAGATGAGTGGCCTTTGTCAACCTGGAAAGGGCTTGAGGGGGTCCTTTGATGGAGACCTGGGGGCAGCAGGGCTGCGGGAGTCGAGCTGGCCGCTCACTAGCTGAGATTTGGGTTGGCGTGGACCAGTGTGGCCCACACAGCTAGAGTAAAGGTCCTGCTGACCCGGGCAGGAGGCTTGTGGCACTGATTGTGGAGACTCAGCGAGCTAGTAGCAGACTGCAAGCCCTCTGAGGGCGATGATCGCTCTCCATCCATGTGCTGGGTGTTTCGTGGGTTCACCTGTGTTTCTGCTTTGCTCTGGCATATTGCGGGATGCCTGATCTGCTCTAATCATGGCCGATGGAGCAAGTCAGCCCAGGTGAGAGCTGTTCTCCCCAGGCATAGCAGAGCACTGAGAAGAGAAGATTTGCCTCTTCTACATTGGCTCATCTGGAACCTTTTAGAAAAGCCCATATCTAAAGCTTGATCCGTTTTTCTGGGCTGTTGCGCTTAGCCATCTCGTAGCATTAAGTTTCTAGCTTTGCTCTTTCCGTGCTGACAGTTTGAGATGCCTTCGCTGTGCAATGCAGCTGCTCAGCTTCCTGCTTCGGGAAGTTGCTGTGGGAGAGGATCCGGATGAACCAGGGTTTCTGAGGGACTGTAGTGTGGAGGTTGGGGTAGAGCTGTTGCAGGAACACCTCCTGTGCCACGTACCCTGCATCCTGTACCTATCTGGATGCAGAGGTTCTGGCTTGGCTTGTTTGTTTGTGAAGCCTTGTTTGTGAAGCCTTGTGTGCTGTAGGATCCTCGATGTTCCTCCAGACTTCTGGGCAATTGCAGTGATTTAGCTGACTGCACTTGATGAAGGCTTCACGTCAGTCTTGGGCGTCAGAGCTGCTCCATGTGATGTAAAATGGCCATTTATTGTAGTCCAGGTGGAGACGCTTGAGGGCTGAGCTTGCTGGCCTCCCTGGGGAGGCAGCGTGCTTCTCCGTCAGCATGGAGCACGCACCGGGAGTCCTGCCCCAAGAGGCCCGGTCCGAGAGGATGCAGGGTCCCTCCGTGCCCGGGGCAGTGAGCAGCAGCCTGTGGAAGGCCCCTCGGAGTGAGGGTGGAGGCTCTGCTGAAGGATGGATGTCCCGGCTGTGTAGCTGCTGGCCTGTGCGCGCCGTCCCGCTGCCGGCAACCGGCGCAGCTGCTGGTGCAGATTATGTGAATTTGCATAGCTTGAATTTTAAATGAATCCCCCCCCCTTTTTTTTTGTGAGTGTCAGAACAAGTTTTCTTTCTAATATGACTTTCTGTTCAACTCCTCTGAGGCTTGTGACATTGGTGAAGTTCCTGCCTTTGAGGAGGAGAGGAGCCCTTGATTGCTTCTGACAGCTGCCTTTCACACTCGCTCAGATCCCTCACTTACCAGGGGCATGAATTGGTTTAAGAACTAGAATAATTGAAAGAAAAAAAAAAATCATTAAAATCATTAAAAAAAAAAAAAAAAAATCAGGTGGAGGAGCAGCGAGCTCTGCCTTGCCCTTCCTTTTTTCCCTTTGGGATCTGAAGTGCTCTATGATGAGGGCAGTTATTTTTGTGTTGCCCACTGCTTTTTGAGGTTATAAGAAGAACTCTGAAGTCAACAGCACGGATAGCTCTGCTCCCTGAGAAGGAGCAGCTGGTGCCCTTTGACCTGGGCACCAGGGCATCTTTCCCTTAAAGCTGGCAAGGCAGGAGAAAATGGATAACCGGAATTGTAAAACCTGCCGGAGGAGGGAAGCTCTGTTTGTGACGGAAACCTGATCAGATCCAGGACTCGCTGAAGTCGCTAGGAGTGACTGAGCTCTAGGAGGAAGCAGCTGCCTGTTCTTGTGCACAGATGTCCGTCCAGCTTTTCCCATTCCCATGGACTGATGATCAGTCCAGAAACCTCTTAGGTCATTGATGGGCACTGTGAGGACAGCAGTTGGACGGTCTGCATGGAAGTGTCCTCACCCCGTGTCCGTGTGACGTGTTGATGTCCCGGTTTGGGCTGTGAGTGCCCC